GCTAAATTTCAGGCACAATTACAATTACTTTTGCAAGATTTTGTGGCGGCGGCGCTTTTCCCCCCTGGCCACGGAGACGACAGCACAGCCAAAGCGACGGGAGAGAGCGTCTCCCAACCTGCTAAAAAAATTTGGAAAAGAGGGATGGGAAAGAAAGGCTGGGATAGAACGGAATGAAGGATTTTGTAGACTGTAAAACGATTTAAGGAAGAATTTGAAAAATAATTTGATAAATGAGGGCTACATTCGCGTTCGTTTTCGTTCCTGTCGTAGTTGAATCTGACTCTTCGTCTCGTTTGCTTCCTGTTGCTCCAGCTTCTAGGGGTCTTTCTTATTTCTCATTCCCACACGGGGGCATCGGAGGTCGAAGTCGAGCTGGTTGGCTCCGATCACATCATCCGGTCGAGGTGGGGAGGTTCGAGGTTCTCCTTACGCTTCTTCGCCGCTAGCATATTCGCTTACATATTTCAGTCAAGTTTGGAACTTTTTTGTTCATGAAATTATTCTCTTTTCTTTATGAGTTTTTCACGTCCTTCTCCTCTATCTCGTATGTTGATACCACTAACAGTAAGTCGTGCTACTCTAACATCGAGGCGAAGAAGTAAAGAAGCAGCAGGTCTCATTAACACGACTCACCCTGCCTTACTTCCAACTGTTCTTGCTACACTGCTCTTCCTTCTCCCAATCCTCGTCTACCTTTTTGTATAAATCTTCATTATTTAGTGTTCGCTCTACCTAACCCTTTCAACCGTTTGTCAGCCTGATTGGACGAGATTCCAAAACTTACAAAACGCGGCTTTAGCTGTAGGGAGCTTGTTTTTGCATTTGTTGTTCGTTGAAGGCTTCTTTTTTTATAGAGGGCTTGGCTTGCACTTTGTTTTTACACCTCTATCGTGACCCTCCACTCGTTGTCCTCTCGTCTTGGCCTGTGGAACCGCCCCGAGGCGCGCAGTGCTGCTTTGCATTGAGAAGCTGCAACAGTCTTATCTACAATGGAAAAGGAAAGGCTGCCGGGGCCTTGTTGCGAAAAATTCTCTAAACAGATTAGCACCAATGTAAAAGACTATAATCGTGAGGAGCAAACTCTCCGGACCGTTTCTGAAAACAAATTCAATAAACCGAAAGGCGACCTCCAATTTGCGGAAACACTTGCAGGTAGGCAACTTTCTTGTTACTTTGAATAATACTTACAGTTATAAAAAAATAATAATAATAGCTCGTCTATATCTTCCAGCTGAAACACGCTCAAGTAAATCGTGAAATCGAGGCGTCCAAGAGGCCGCAGTTTTGGAATAATTCGCGGATTCTAATTTTCGCGACGCGGTGCGGTCGCGATATAGATTCCAATGTGTTTACATTTTTTTTTTCGCGAATTGTAGGCGATTCGCGAAATTCGCGAAAATAAAGTCATTTGCAGTGTATCATGAATTTTTCGAGGTTGTTCTTGCCATGCTAAATTCAAATCGGCCTTCTTTATGAGACGCACAACATCGATACAATCATTGTTATCCTAATGATTAGCTACATGACGATCCTAAATTTATTATTTATCTCAGTAGCTTTTTGGGTGTTACCGTGCACTGAATTAACCCAGAATCTCTGGCAATAGAGTTGCTGCTATTGTGACACTAGTTTTGTGGAAGCAACCACAGTTCGTGTGCTACGGTTACCCACATCCGGCATGTTACAAGTCCACAGACAGGGAGAGGCAGCGAATCATCGTGGCTGCAATGTTTTCATAAGTTGTCGTATCCTTTAAATGTTTGACGTCGTTTACAAGTTTCTCTTATTAGCCATTTTTACGTGAGTTTTATGATACCAGTGCTGTCGCATATAATTGTTTCCTTGTATTATTTTTAAGTTTATTTTTTCTTGGTTTGACTTGGATACCATTTGCATAAGCTCTAGGGAGGTTCACCTCGCACCTGTGAATTTTGTCGCCATTTTTTATGTTTTGAGAATATATGAACGCAGGAGTTCATTACTCCAAACTATTAAGTTCTATAATCCATTTAACAAATTTCATAAAAGGAAAGTACAATGCGTGTCATTTATACAGCGGCCATATAACTCGGTTTACAGTTATATGGCCCAATGGGGGGGGTAACTCTCAGAAGTAAGTAATTGTAAAGTAATTGCATTACTTTTAAAAAGTAATTTGTAATTGCAATGAACTACTTTTGCGTAGTAGTAATTGTAATTGTAGTTAAACTACTTTTGGAGCTAAGTAATTGTAATTGTAATTAAATTACATTTTGAAAGTAATTTACCCATGTATGCTAGAGTGCATCTTTTTTGTACGAGGATTGCAGTTGAGGGAGTTGAATTGGGATTGCCGAGCATGGCAGGCACATTCACATCTCTTTACTTTCGGGTTACCCTGCACTGCCCGAAGGCATTATTGCAGGGGGGGTGAGGGGAGGGGAGGTATGTAGTCAGTCGTGAAGGTAGAAATACGCCCGTGCATATATGTACCAAAAAAAAGAAATGCAGGCACACAGGTAAACACATTCAAAAACAAAAGCGAGCCCAGAATAAGATAAAAGCCACATTGGTTGCTCACATTCTATAGTCGGTGACAGGTCAATAAGGAAGTGGAAGCTGCTCCCACCTTTTTCCACTCTAGCAGACTGAACCCTGGAGAGGAGGCACCCTCCTTTCCAGCGTTTGCTCTGCTAAAGGGGAAAGAGGTGGGAGGAGCTTTCACTTCATTCTTGACCTGTCACCGACTATAGGTACCTGCCAACGTTCCATGTTTTTGGACGTAAGCCAACACTTTGACAAGTAGGATGAATTGGGCTGTTGTATATTGGGTGTATCAAAGAGCGGCCAGGCTCTTTAAACCGACTGCAAAATTCGGTTTCTTAACCTATTGCACTACGACTTTGTGCAGCGTTGCTACGGGATGGTGCATTTTTTTTGTAAAATTGCAAAGAGCAAGCTTACTTGAGGAAAAAGTAAAGAAAGAAAAAGTCTTAGCTCCTATGGAAATGCGACGAAGCCAAAGGTCTTTAAACAATATGCCACCGTTTCACTAGAGAGTCAAAAGATGGCACAAGGGGTCATGACGCCAACTGCGCCAACGTACGAGCATACGGCGCCGAAAGCTGGCGTCTTTAGCAGACAATCTTTTCGACTCAAAAGTGGCACGAGCTTTTCTGATATCAGTTGCCAATGTATTTTTTTTATTATCCTTACTGATAAAACATATTGAATGGACACATAATCGATTAGAAAAGTGGTTTGTTGGGATATTTTGACTGTTTTTTTCGGAGTACCGATGTCATCTGCTTTGCAGTTCCTTGTTGTTACCGCGCCTGTTTTTGTTTCTGCGACTGTCGCCCCCTGCGGAATGCACTCTACTTTACATGTTTGATCCATTTATTTTGTTCCTTGGTTCGTTAATGACATGAATGTCTTCTAGTCAGAGCAACGAAATTGAGCGAGTTCAGAAGCGCCTGGCGCGAACAGCTTATGACAGATACTTTCAACATTCTTAATATAATTATGAATCACTTGTGAACTATTTCGGCTTAAATCGTACCATTCGTGATGTGCGTTTTTACATAAAGTAACTTCTGGCCGGACTGATAGCAATCACTCTTATCATCCATGAACTTTCACGTACCGACGCGAAGTAGTAGAGTGATTTTACCATTTTACCCTAATTCCCCATATGATTCCTTACCTATGTCTAGAATTACGCACTTGTATAATAAACTTCATGATGTGGATCTGAACACATATGCACATACATAATTCCTTATCAACACTAAAAAGATTGTAACCTCTATATATACTTTGCTTGTTTTTTAGTGCTGGGCTTTGTTTCGCTTTTAGCATGTCATATACTCATTCTACAGACCTCTGATGTTCCTGTATCTTGTTTGCTCACTTAGCTGCTTTTTTAAGGTGACAATTACTTTTGTTCATGTTGCTGTGTTTTCTGTTTCTTTATTTTTTAGTGTGAAGCTAATATTTTGTTTATAGTGTACCAATAACAAGGTCTTTGCAGCTGTTTTTGGACACTAGCACAAAGTAAAGTATTATTAATATTATCATTTCTGGAAATGTGCCGCTCCAAATAATTAAAACAACCCTCACTGTAAAACATGCCAACAGCAACATGACAAGGAATTTCAATAAATTGTATTAAATTGTAAATCGTCTTCAGGTATTATACAGGGTGTCAACTAATCTGGAAAACCTGGGATTGTCAGGGAATTTTGAACCATATGGAAAAGTCAAGGAAATTTTAGTAAAGAGCTAAATCAGGGAAAATGGCACATGGAAGTGGCATGGCGGTGTGCAACGAAACCCAACTGTCGTGCAGCAGCGTGTCTGCACTGAGTAATGTTGCCAGAAATGTCACTAGGCAGATCAAGCAACCATCCATTAAAAGGGATGAGCCACTTGGGCTCCATAATTTAGCAACTATGGCGAGCATAGGACCAATAGCAGGTCAGAGTTCTTCGGTCGTATAAGCACTCCTTCGAGAGAAACACCGGTCAGGGAATTTGAAACAAGTAATTCGGTAGGCACATTCAAGCAAATTCTGATGTTGTGCACTGCACGTCACAGTTAGCACAGACAAGCAATGGGCTGTCTTTTTCTTTGTTTCAATTATGTAACTGATACGTGCCATCAGAATTGCTAGTGTGGGGGAAAGTGCTAATTTTGAGCTCCAGCGTAAAGTACTATTTTGGGCGCATCAATATTCTGTATGAGTAAAATGCAATGAAAAAGTGCTAATTTCGTGTTCGCACTAGCAGTGTCATGCAGTGTGCATGGGGCAGGCCGGGCAAAATGAATCGGCACAGCCTATGTCGGTAGTCATTAACAAAAGGGTGACATATCATTTAATCTGGTCGGAACACTCATATATTCACCCATGTCTATTTGTAGTAATGGTAGGCTTTCATATCTCCCGTGACCATTGCACCAGGGTAACGGACTTGGTTATGATTTTCATATTTTCCCCATTTACAGAAGCAGTCAGACTGATAAAAGGCCCGAGTGGTGCAACGCTTGAAGAAATTGAAGCAGGAGCCAAGGGTTGGCTGAAGAACTGCCGAGCATGCGTAAATAGCGCCACAAAAAGGTATGGTACTTAAGCATTATTTCATCTAAACATTTTCCCTTTTCCTGCTGACTGAGAAGTGGCAAATTGAAAACATACTTAAAAGTCACTTAATGATACAAGCCTTGTATAATTATGACTATGAAACTTAATGTATAGCACTGACTGAAATTTCGGATACCGTACACCTCGTTGCTCAAATTTTCGGAAGTTTTTTTTTCCATTTATACTTACAAACAGTCGCCGTATGCTTCATTGCAAGCATTTTGGTTGTTTGGTCTCGTAGCCTCGGATCCCCGTCTTACGCATGAAAAAGCTAGATTGGGCCACGGTCAGATATTCCAGTTCCATTATATCCAACATAGCCGCCATCTGGGGGCCATACTTCTGTATCTTCTCGTGTTTGCATTTCCCTACCGCGACCAGGAGAAGAACTACTGTCCACCATTCTTCCCGTGTTCTTCGAGCGAGTATATTTGGCAGATAGGTGCTGCAGTAAAGCGAGCTTGGTCAGCTGAATGTAGCCTCCAAATCATACCAGCTTTATCTTTACTGTATGCGGCAGCAATGGCCTCAGCAACGCTTGGCACTGCGATCATCCAAACATGTGGAAAGCGACCAGTATGAAGTGGAAGTTGCATGAGAACTTAATATTGGCATCAAACAAGTGGAAAGTCGGCAATACCATGCAGAGGTTGCATGGAATTTTTTCATTTAAGTTAAAGACCGACGACCAGTTCGCGCTTTCCACTTTTCGCCCGCTTCCTCCTCTCCCTCCTACCGTTTCCATCCATGCCCGCCCCTCTTGGTCCCTTCTTTCCATCCTTCGCTTCCCCCGCCCGAAGGCGTGGAGAGGAGGATCTTCTGCCTTGCAGAATCTCGAGTCTGGTTGTCGGCCTTTAAAATAGCTTTTTAGACTGCTTTTTCGGGTTGCCTTCGAGTCTGGAAAATTGGTCGGCATTTGCATTTAAACATCATAGAGTCACTCTGTTGGCATACTATTGCAAATAATTGCTTTGTAGATTGCTCCTTGTTTTTTTGCCTTGTTTTGCAAAAAACAAAGTACTAATTCATGTTGGTCTTGTGGTGTACTTTGGCTAGCAGGTGTACTTTGGCTAGCAGAATCATTCTCAAATCTTAAAAGTGGTTTTCTGGACTTCTCTTCTATAGCAAACTTCAGTCATTTTTGGGCTGCTTTGAAATTTCGCAGGAAACTTCTAGCAGTGTCATACAAAATTTGTTTCTGAAATTAGCTTTATATCCGAAATATCTTGAAAATTCCTGATAGGCAGCAAAACATGGGGTATTTACAATGGGCACATTATGGGTACATTATACAATGCATGCTTAGACACTTGATACCTTTATAAAACTGGGAACAATAGGGAATATTAAACTCATAAAAATTTACTTTTCGTTTCATTGCAGGAAGCTTCCACGAGTGTGAGAGTTAAGAAACTTCCATGAGTCAGCTGGAAACTTCCACAAGTCATCTGGATTGCAAGCCATTATTTCATTTCTTATTGTTCTAAAACTAATAAGCAGTGCATTGAAAGCTTCAATTATATTTACGTACCTATTTTACTAATAAACATGTTTTTACAGTTCTTGAACAGGAGAAAAATCATTTGCTTACTGGTGCGCAGCTATGGCTGTGTCACTTGAGAGCTTGCGATTGACAGGTGTTCAATACGTGGTGTACTTACAGACATGCAATAGCTATGCTTTGCTATGTTAACCATGTCATTTTATTCACACCAGCTTGGTGCAAAGGCCTATTTTTGCAACAGCGCTCGACTATATTGCAAAGACTTGACTCAAGAGACTGAAAGCCGCTAAGGCAACTAATTAGTGTTGCAATTCTTGATTGCCATGGTAAGTCATGGTTGTATCTTGACAAAAGCCCCCTCACATAGTCAGTCGCTGCAGTACGAATCGGCTTCAGTACTCGTCCTTACCACTATATAAGGAGTTTAGCTATTCAAAGCCTTATATGGCTTTTTGGGATTAAAATATCCAGGCCGTAACTAGGTGTCCTGTAATAGTTTTCAAGTCGTCTATGGTAGATCTTGCAAGGCATCTTGCAGCCCAAGGACTGGGCGTTATGCCGGCTAGAAGACGGCTACAGGACGTTTCAAGACGTCCGGGCTATATAATATCTTGCCAAGATGTCCACAAAACGTCTTGTAGACCTTGCCAAGACAAATTTTAAGACATTTTTTTGTGTAGGCCAGAATGATGGTGCATAAGCTGGGAAAAGGATGGCTAAAAGACATCTTATATGCCTTTTTAAGATGTTAAATACACCTATCTAGAGGTGCTGTAGTCGTCTTCAAGACATCTTGCAAGACGTCTTGTAGCCCAAGAAAAACTGGGCATTGTCCCGACTAGAAGACGGCTACAAGACGTCTTGGGCTATATAACGTCTTGCCAGGATCTCTACAAAACGTCTCGTAGACCTTGCCAAGACAAATTTTAAGACATTTTGTTTTGTAAGCCAAAATAATGGTGCATGAGCTAAGAAAAAGATGGCTAAAAGACATCTCATATCCCTTTTTAAGATGTTAAATAGACCTATCTACAGGTCCTGTAGTCGTCTTCAAGAGTTCTTCAAGACATCTTGCATGACGTCTTGTAGCCCAAGAAAGACGGGGCGTTAGCCCGACTAGAAGACGGCTACAAGACGTTTCAAGACGTCTTGGGCTATATAACGTCTTGTCAGGATGTCTACAAGACGTTTTGTACATCTTGCCAAGACGTCTTTTAGCCGTCTTGTAGCCATCTTTGCCTTCAGTGGGCTCGTACATCGCGATATCAAAGGCAACAATACGTTTTAAGATGTCGCCGTCAAGTAATTTCTTAAACTCCAAGTTCAGCTAGGCTGGTCGACTTATTGGTCGAATGGACCTATTTCCAGTAAGCTTTTCCGCACGCGTATATCCTCTTTCCTTAACTCGCTCTCAACTGTAGCCATATTTGCAGGAGTGTAATTACATGTATTTACGCGTATTTCGTCTCTTAGAGCACAGCTCTTAGGCGCCCGTTTCCGGCTCGATGGCGTCGCCCTCGCCGCGGCGTCGTCAGCGTAATTGCGAGTTGCATTATAGGACGTTTCCCACAATGACGTCACACGTGACGTCACGAGTGACGTCACGAGGTTCACTCGTCACGTTACCGCGCGTTGCATCATGGGTAAATTTCCCCGCTAAATTTAGCGGAAAAAATTCCTCTTTCAATTTAGCGAAAATACTCCCCCGCTAAATTTAGCGCCACAGGTGAAGTCACATCTGTCGTCACGACGGTTACGAGTGACGTCACGAGGGTCATTAATGACGACACCGCGCGCTGCATTATGGGCAAATTTCTCCGTTAAATTTAGCAGAAAAATTTCCCCGCTAAATTTAGTGAAAAAAATTCGACATTAAATTTAGTGGAAAAAGTTTTCCGCTGAAGTTAAAGGGGAAATTTTTCCGGTAAATTTAGCGGGGAAATTTTTCTGCTAAGTTTAGCGTGGAATTTTTCCCGCCTAAATTTAGAGCGGAAATCTTTATGCTAGATATAGCAGAAAACTTTTTCCCGCTTAATCTAGCGTAAATTATTACAGCGAAATTTAACTTCAAACTTTTCCCGCTAAACTTAGCAGGAAAAATTTTCCATTAAATTTAACGGAAAACTTTTTCTATTAAATTTAGCGGAAAAAATTTCCCTCCCCCTTCTCCTCGAGAGCTGCGCTCTAATTCGGCATTGCAGTGGATTTTAAATGTCCTTCAGTTTTTCGCGATTTTGTTTATAGAATAGTCACTCACTTCTTTGAAGACAAAGAATAAAACTTTATTGGCCGAGCAATGCCAGTGGGGTGACGGGTGCAGCCGTCTTATCCACCGCCTTCACTTCTTTGAGAATCGCCGATGCGGGTGCAGGCGATTCCCACTTTCAGAATCGGTAACAAGGTGCATGAAAAACAATGAAAGCAAATACTAGGGCACGATGCCATTGTCATTTGACATGCAGAAACTTGCATAGCTGGCCTGCAGTTTTAGGTCCTAGGAGACCCTCCTGGCAGTGTTAATTAATACATTAATGTCGACTGCGAGAATGTGAGACCCCATCAAGGGCGTCAACGCGGGTCGCCCCTTTCCTCTCAAACCAAAGTCTAAGCACACCTGCGGGACATCTGCCTTCGCCAACGTTTGCTAGCTTGATGCCGTTTCGCAATAATTAATCTTCGCATGATTTCAAGGGCAAAAATCTAACTGCCTCTCAGAACTTGTCGTTCACTTCATGTAGGAGCTTTAGATAAACAGATTTGCGCCAAAACGAAATGAATTAACAATGGAATCGCGATTTGATTTTTTACGGCGGCAGACTTTGGAAATGGGTTTTCTGAATATAGAGGAAACGTTTCTTTGCTAAACGTCATGTGGTTACGATACGCCGTGCCGCCGTCAAGTTTCATCTGAGTGTGAGGTGCTGAGCTTTCACTGAGGGCGTAAACAGTAGAAACAGTCAAAGCATTCCACCACTCCACGTCCAAACCTTCTTCGGGTGCAGGCCCCCATAGAAAAGGTCATGGTATTCATCTTTATAGACCCTGAGGACATTACGATGATCTGTTACGTCTACAAATGTAAAGACAACCAATGCTGAGTAGGTGGAAGCATTTCCCAAAACACAGTGCAGTAATGGCTGCAGCGAGTGAGCGGCCTAAATCAAAAGAGGGATCCCTTTTTAAGTATTTTAGAGGTTTGGTGAAGCTTTAGTAATAGGCGAAACGTGCGTAGAAGTGCAGGGGCGAGAGCTTGCTCCACATAGACAGCGTGAAAGTTAACGAGACGTCGTAGTTCAATTGAGAAGCGCCTCCGCATGCAACGGATAGATGGCGCCATAGATACACCATAGCTTCAGTCGTCACAGCAAAAAAACGTCGCCAACTAGCAACAAGCTCACCTTTCACGAGAGAGCTTCAAATGTATGGATAAATGAACAGCAATGACATTTTTGAGTCTGGTCAGTGCTTGCTCTACATAGCCAGCGAGGAAGGTAACGCGGCGTCAACTTTCTCCTTGCGGCAAAGCGCTGCACTTCGGCTGCAGGGCGCCTCCACTCGCCACGGGGAGATGGCGCCACGAACCTGGCTCGTACTCTCGTCCGAGTAAACACATCTCGAGGGCTTGCTCGCTGTTGATTCAAGGTGATCAGCTTACGCGCGCCTTCCGGTGGTCACCTGTTGCCGTCACGCCTCAAAGAACCCGCTTCGATTTACGGTACTCCACTTCAGCTTCCCTTTCAGCCGCTCCTTGGAATAGTTTGCACACGAGGCGACGGAAAACGACGGGAAGACATTTTGTTGTTGTTGTATTTTCTCCGGTTTACTAATTAAGCGGAATTCTAATTACCCGATCCCGACGCCGGACCCAGTTAGTTCTCGCTCTAATTAACAATACAGGACCGTCGTAAAAAATACACAAACGGGGGTGTGCGTTGGGAATGCTCGTTCGAAGGTCGATCGCGATAGGGAAGTAAGCTCTCTTCCTTCACGAAGAGCGCCTTGGTAGCGGAGTTCGCTGTAGCACCTGAGATTAGAGAAGACAGGTGGGGAGAAGGTGACAGGCTTAAAAATAAAATAAAAAACAATTACGTAGGATAGAGAGAGAGAGCGAGATAGAGTTAGAGAAAGGAAGGGAGAGAGAAGGATCGAGGATTGCGGACTGACGGGCACCTTCCAATTACCGACGGCGCTAAAGTATTCGCGCCGAATGTAAAACAAAAATATCCGGAGACATGGTGCTAAATCTTACTCTTAAAACTAAAATATAGCGAAAACGTATTTGCGGTGCTTTTTTCTCTCGGTCAGGATGTTTTGAAACGAACGATTAGTTGCTCGTCTAAATCAATTGCCCCTCTAGTGCATGCAACACCTCAACACAGCCAATTTGGAGAAAAAACCAGCTTCAAAAATGAACGTTTTTCTTTATTCTTTTTTTTTTTTTGTGAAGAGATTGTTTGAAAGTTTATCACAATTTTTGCGTAAAACGCTACTCATAGTTGTTCACGGGATGTGACAAGATTACGTCCATCTCGGATTCCCCGCCAGAACGCGTTCCTTGCCTTCCACCATGCTTTGGTTGCACGGGCACGCTCGAAGCTCGTGAGACGCCGATGCGTTATCGAGGGCAGGGAGCTAGCGCTGGAATAGGGACCACTGAAAGACCTCCCCAGACGTTCTGATTCTGCCAATACACATAGTGCTCGTCACGTGTTTGAAAAAAAGAAACGATAATAACTTTAGACAAAAAATCAATTACGCATAAACTCAAACAGCTTCTAACAGAATCCGCAACACTCACTCACCAACAGTGGCGCACTTACAAAACGCGCACTTATAGACAAAGTACACAAACAAAACACTTTGGAGGAACTTCAACTTTATTTCAAACAGATATTCATTCCAAGAACGAACGCCCCCGTTAAGACGCACGACCATGGAGCACTTTTCGAATCAAATATATTTTGCATACACAATCATTCCGGATGACTTAAATGACATTCCAAAAGCCAGAAAGTACGCCCTCACGCCAGTATTGTGACCCTTACAAAATATACACCCGTA